TAATTAGAAATTTAGTTAAGAAATGAATGTGAGGCTTATGAATGCTTTCACTTTCAATTGTGTACACATTAGCAATAGCATTCATTACTCTCATTTCCTCTAAATTTTCAAAATCGACTCCGAACTCTATATCCCTAGTATATCTCTGAACTATTCATGGGAAAACTTAACAATGACATACAGTAAGATCGTATTGTTCACATCAATCAATTTTGTCATGATATGTATTATAATTACTCTAATAAATATGTCACAACATATGTGTTATAATCGAACCCGTCTATGTATTACAAGACATATATTATAATCACACTAATCAATGTATTTACAACACATGTATTAATCACCCTTTCTCTTTTACTCACATATTCTCAACAATTCTCAAATATTCACATCAATTTCTTTCATTATTTTTCACTAATAAACATTTTCCTTCATCTTTTTCTCATCATTCAATTAAATAAAACATATTTAAAGTCACATACATCTAGACTTAGTTGAATTCACAAAGGTTCCTTCGCTAGCTAGTTCTCTTGAGATCATGTTAATGGTGACTCAAGGTGGAGTTCAGTTCACTTCACTGACTATTGAGTTATTTTTCTCTTTCATAGTGTCAGATTAGACTCATTGTCCTCTTGCAGCCCTAATCTTCTTGATGTGTCTTCAGATGACCCCTTAATTTTGGCTAAGCTTTGATGAGCATCACAGTGCAGGTATTGTCAAAGTGTTCTATCATGGAGAAGTTCTTCTATTGCATCATTTAGTTGAAGACATTCATCAATAGTGTATCTATATCCATTGTGAAAGGTGCAATAATTTGGCTGATTCTTCTAATCGCACTTCTTGAGCGGTGTTGACTTAGGGATGGACACAAAATACTTCAATGCCTAAGTTAAAAGAATTTGTTTAGGTTATTTGGTTGAATGAGGGTAAAAGTCATATCTTTCTTAGAAAGATTCCTTTTTTATATATGGATTTTGACAATTTTGTCATTTAGCATACCTGTCATGGGTTGTTGGATATGGTGTGCATTTTTGCCGTTGTACAACAATGCATGATGCACCAAAATAAGGTTGTAACACCCTTATTTTGTTATTTATTATTATTACAATTTATGTGTGTTGTTTATATGTGTTGTTTGAAATAAGGAGAGTTTAATTGGTGTAAACTGTAGGATATTTCACTGTAGCGAGACAAGTAATTCAAAATTAGGCTATCTGAAGCCCTCTCGTTATAGCGAGAAGTAGATAAGGATAACCTAACATTTTTCTCGTTATAGCAAGTATCTCTCATTGTAGCTAGAATGACAAACAGTAAAAGAAAAATATTGTTTGGTTTTTCGCTGTAGAGAGAAAATCGCGAGTTTGAAGGGTATTTAAAGAACTTCCGTCCTAGAAACCTTCATTTTAGAACTAAACAACCTTCCCTCTCTATTCTCTTCCCCTCAGAGAAAACTCTCCCAAACCCCAAACCCCAAACTTCTTCCAAATCGAAGCTTGAACATCTATTCCGTTCAAATTCAAGTAAGTTTCTCAGAGTTTAGTTCTCTAAACTTCGTTCTTTTTCTCTATTTTCTCTCTTCTTATAAGTACTCTCTTTTGTGATATCTAGGAAAAATATTGGTCCTTGGGTGGTATCCCAAATTATAACCTTGCGTTTTCTCTAAATCTTGCGAAGAACATAGTCTTAGAGACCTGTTTCCAGGTAAGGGGGTTGATCCCGATCCCTAAGTCTTATTTATTTATTTTAACTTGGAAAACTCAAACTACTTTATTCTAAATAGTAGAGTTATAAGATTTTCTTGAAATTATAGTGTTAAAAAGGAATTTTTGATACAAAAAACCTATGGTTTAGTTTAAGAATCACCTAAGATAGAATTTTATAGTAAAAGTTATGAACATGAATAAGTTTTCAAGGAGTTTTCATATATATATATATATATGTTGCAAGAAAATAAGTAAAGGATGCTAAACTTTAGGATAAATGATTTTATTAAGATAGAGAAAGTGTGATCTCTGGCAATATACCGATAATTTAATTCTATGTATGTTAAATTATACAGTTGGTTTGAGTCTGGAGGTGTTCGACCTTCGATACATTGTATTGATTTGTAGATGAGGTGTTTCATTATTTCATCAATATGTGTTTGAATGAAATCTTTGATATGTAAAAGTGGGTGATACATAATTGATTAATCTAGAATGATTAAAATGTTTTCCTTCAGTATATGTGATGTGGATGTTTTATTTTTTGTTAGAATGACATATAGCAATGACTATGGATTTTGTTTGATAATCGGTATATGGTGAATTTATGATAAAATGTTTCATTAGTGAAAAATTTGATGAATAAAGGCTGATGTAAATGGTATGCATGAGAAAGAAAATGTAATAAGTAATGTTGAGAAATTAAATGTTATGTGAAATGTTGAGAAAGTAAGTGTCATGAGAAATATTGAGACACTGTATAGATAGTTACAGAGATACACTCGAGGTATAGAGTCAGAAGAAGATTTGAGAAATCTTGGATAAATAAGGGTAGTGGATGCTATTTGTAAGTGAGTGTACAATGATTTGCTAAAAATAAAAAACATTCACAAGCTTTACACTTATTTCTTGACGAGACTCCTAATTATACCTTTGCTAAAATGGACTAGAGGAACACATGTTGTATCCATGTTGTTCAGGCTAGACAACGACTATCTATGCTTATATAAGACCTCAAGGGATTCCAGAGGCAATGACTATGAAATTGTGAAATTTGTGTTTGTAATAGGTGAGTCATAATGGATTGATTAGTGTAATTATAATACATGTATTGTAATGCATTAATTAATATAGTTATAACGCTCATATTATGACATGTTGCTCGATGTGGGAATGTGTGAAATAAAATTATTAATAGTCTGTTTGAACTGTTGTAATACTAATTAATATAATGTATGAATTAATATTATCTCAATGTATATTATACGATTTAAAGTATGAAGGATACAACTATTGTTGTCGTGATTTTGTTAAATTGACATTGAAAATAATACTTTTTACTATATTTGGCACTAATTTATGTTTCTTGTATTATTTTGATTGATTTATAAATAAAAGAGATTTAGTGAGGCGCAAGATACTTATCCTTACTAATTATTTTTAGGAATTGAAATTAAAAAAAGTTAAAAAAAATTAATTAATCTAAAATTATATTCTGAGTGAACTGTAAGGAATGACTGTTCTATTAGGGTTTAAAATAATTTAAAAAATTGTAATATTTTATTAAGTTGCTCAGGTTCTATAAATATTTTAAGTATTAGTTTTAAAATTTGTAATACTTTATTAAATTTTATTGTAATTAATAATTTTAAATTGTATCTGTAATATTGTTAATTGGTTATTTTATTGTAATTTGCAATCAATTTTAAATAAAATCTATTCATTTAAGAAGTAGTGCTAATTTTGTTTTAAACTTATATGTATATAATTTGAACTAAATAAATTCTTAGATACAAAGTTAAATTTTATTCTATTTATCACTTTCAATTCCTAAAACTATTTCTTTCAAAAATTTTAAAAAATTTTTAAATTTTATAAATTTAATAAGAAAGTGTAAATTTCACTTTTATTCAATTATTTAAGTTATAATAGAAAAAAATTATTTTTCTTTTTTATTATAAAAAATTATTTATTTTTAAATAAAAAATTAAGACTATTGCAAGGTTGTCATATGTTAAAAATGTTAAAATATAGTTGTATTATTGTATAATGTGACAGTGACCTCAATTCTAACATAAATAAAATATTTTAAATTGAGATTGTTGAAGATGATACATAATCAACATCATAAATGAAATTAAGAGTGTTTTTATTTTTTTATATTTATATCTAAATTAAATATAATAATTATATTTATATTATTGAGTTATTAAATAATTTTTAATAAAAAATATTAATTACAAAAAAATATAAATAAGTATATATATTTATTTGAAATTAATTTTTAATAATAATTCATTGATTTAAGTAAATAAATCCTTTGTACCAATGATAACTTCTATTATAGATAAAAAAAATAAAGGAGTAACGTAGAAATATATAATAAATAATATTTAATTTAAATATATTTAAATATTTAAATTGAGATAATATCCATTTTTTTATTTTTAATTGAAATAATGTGTAAATAATATAAATATTTTGTTAAGAGAATTTAATAAAATGTTTGAAGTAAGTATTTTTATTAAAATTACATTAAACATGAATAATATACTTAAATAAATTTTTTATTTTTAAATACTTTCAATATTACTATGAGATTAACATCTTGATTTCTTTTTCTTTGAAAATAAAAAAACATAAATATCAACTTCATAAGAATTAATAATGTTTAAAAATATATTATTTAAGATTAATAAGTGTAAGAAAATAAAAATATTATATTTTTATAATTTGAATATAATAATATTTTTTATAAAAAATTAATTTTAAACCTTTTAAAAGGTAAATTTAAAGGGACTAACATTTATTAAGTATTTTAAAATAGTTAAAAAGCTTGGGAACACGAACCTCTCGAGTACGGAGTGTGAAAGACACGAAGACGTTAGGGGGTACATTCTGCAATAAATTGACGTTATTACCCCTAAGATCAGTTGAAAATTACGTGGCGGGGGCGAAAGAAAGGTGTGAGAGAGGGTGTGTCCCTGAGAATTGCAGAGAGATGCAGCACAAGTGTAAGTGTAGGTGATGTGAGCGTCTATTCCCTCCACGTGGAACTTCTCAAACGCTTTCTCATAACATTCATTCATGAACAACCATCGAACTCCAAAACCTCTCTCTTCCTCTGCGAGATTTTGTTTCCTTCTTATTTTTTCACATTCCACTCACTTTCCTTCGTTTCTCTCTCTTTTTTTATGTATATAACCTCCACGACAAACATTGCAAGCCAACTTCCCCCATTGTTTTTTTTCTTTCTTTTCGTAAGTTTTACATCAATTATCTGTTGAAAAACTTTCTCTTTCTCCTTTGTTTCGATGGAGGTAAAATGAAAAGAAATGTTGATCAAGTGTCTTTCTTTTTTGATTTTTTTCATCATGCAACATTTTAAGACTAGTGAGATTTTTCTTCTGGTGCAGAGGGTTCAATACAGCTGCGAAAAAATAGATCTTAATCTAAAGCTTTCATCTTGGGATGAAAATGCAGAAGAAAGTAGGTTGACAAGGTCATCGTCGTTGGTGGGAAATGGGGCCCAGTGGGGTCCATCTCTTGACAGATCTTGCTCACTGCCAGCTGAGTGTGAGAGAATGGTGGGGGAGAGGCAGAGGAGGGTGACAATACTCTCACCTCAAGTTCTTGCTTGGGTCGCTGCTTCTGCTGCTAATGTGAAGATACCAACACTTCATAAACTCAGAGAACCTTTTCAGGATTATTCAGAGCTTCAGGGTAACGAATATGTTTCATTTACTTCTCTTGTGAGAACTTAGTGGTTATAATATAATAAATTATGTTTTCTTTTTAAATTGTGACTAAATAATTTTAAAAAAATAAACTTTTTCCATTTTTGTTTTAGGAGATATGTTCCTACATCAATTTTTTTTCTTTTTTTATGTTAGAGTTTTTTTATTAATCTCTTATCTTGGTGTTATGGGACTGCGGAAGAGATTGCATAATCTTTGCAAGATTAGTTTGTATGACTGAAAACTTAAGAGGGGGAGAGATGAACTCTCATAAATTATAACAAAAATTTCATGTTTTATTTCATTTCAAGGGTAAATGGAGCACTGAAGCAATAAAAATACTAGCTTAAAGCAAATTGAAGATGCTAAAAACTGCGACGGAAATATTGTAGGGTAAAATGAGTGGGGACATTGTTAAAAGCGCACATTTAGCCTTTGTTGATAGTCAAAGAGCCAAACCTGGTCAGTGCTCGAATTCAGCCATGGATCGCATGATGTAAAGAAACTATATTTGACTAGGTACAGAGAAAAGATATACAAATCAATTGCATAAATAAACATCTTAAATAATTAATATACAGAATTGCATATCATAATGTGCAGTTTGTAACAAATAAAAAAAAAATGAAAATGTATGATGTATATGAGAGATTTTAAACCCAATGAAGTAAACCGAGTTTCTCCTTATTAGTAACAGCAAATCATATCATATCTTACTAAGATGACATAAGCGGTACTGAAATTTCTAAATTATAGGAACATCTAAAGATCAGAACACTGTGTGAATAAATATGATAGGGAGAAACTACTTTTTAGTGCATGTGCAATTTTGTCTGAGGATATTATTTTTGTTTACTGCTTGCATATGTTTAATGCTCACCTCAGTAATCAAATATTACCATTACAAATGACGTTGAGATACTATAAGACTTACATTACTCTTAACTTTTCCTTTGTTAAACCATCATTATATACTCTTTCCTTCTCAGTTCTGGTTACAAATTTATTCACATTGAAGTAGTACTGGATACACTGCATTTCTTTGTAACTCAGTGACGTGAACACCCCCCCCCCCAACCCACACACACATCACTCCCTTTTTCTCTGAATAGTCTTCTTGTTTAATATTCTTTCTTTTATCTGTTAGTGTTGAAACAAAATGGGGAGGCTGAGGGGTCATTCAAATCTCAAACAATGAGACAAGGAGGAAGCTATATTCCTTTTTGCTTAGAAGTGTTACAATGCTTCATCTTTATAAATGTTTGTATTATCCAGGAACCAGGATAGTGTATTCTTGCCTTGGTATTAGATGAGCCACAAAATGCTGTGTAATTACTGAAATAAGAAATGGTTTCACTTAAAGAAAGTAAAAGGGGAAAATTGACCCTAAGAAAGTAAAAAATAAAAATACAAAAGAAATGCCTAAGTTTTTAACATGTTCCCATAGGAAAAAAAGTTAACAAGAGTTTTTTGAAAATTTCTTTTGATGCCTTTACATATTCAATTTTTTCTTCTGGAGTTATGTTTAACTGTGTAAATTTTCTCCCTCAACATCAGTTTGTTCCTTGTACAAATCTGCAGTGATATCACAACTAAGTTAATCTTGTATGAAGGGCTTTTGTTATTCTTTGTGCAAGTAATATTCATTGACACATATACTCTTCCAAGAAATAATTTATGCATCATTGATATGTCAGTATGTAAGGTCACATTATACTCTATATCCTGAATCCATTTATATATGGAAATTGGTTGGGTGGTGTACAATTCGTTTAGACTAGACTTTTGTTTATATTGTTTGATTTCATGATTTTGTGTCCTCTGAAACCAGGTTCATTTTCATTTACTTTCCCACGGCATGCAAATAAATTATAATGGATGCTGCAAACATGCAGCCAGGCTTAATATTTATGACAGTAAACCTGGAATCACTAGTTTCTCTGATTATTCATCAAACATAATTGCTTTATTTTTAAATTCTGTAATTTCGGGCCTTTGATTCTTTCTATTCACAATTTCTTTGCTTTATTTTTAAATTTTGTAATTTCGGGCCCTTGATTCTTTCTCTTCACAATTTCTTCATAGCTTTCCTGGTAGTTTGGTTTCTACATAAGCATAAGGTGTGTTATAGCTGCATCTTCCTTGGCTTTTTAATGTAACAAGATGTCCAAAAGTATACCATCATTTTTTCTTTTCTTGGAAAACCACTTTACAAGAAACCTTGTGAGATGTTACGGTTTTGCTTTTAGACATTCTAAGCTCATGAAAAACCAGTCGTGTGATTTAAAGTACAAAAACTAGAAACTGATTTTCTCATTTAGCAGTAATTCTGACATAACATTTGCCTGATTGTCTAGTGTGATTGTTTTATTCTACTGTGCTAATCATGTGCGATAACACATATGGAGCAGGACATAAATTAAAGCTGTAAGGGTTTTTGTATAGCAGAATTCTTTGCACTGCTGAAAGTATGTTTTAGTTTCCTTGCTAAATCCATTCGATGTAAGTTTATCTTGAAGATAACTTTCACATTTTGTGTGCAGATATAACAGATAACTCAATTACTCATACTTGATTGTGTTGGGAGTTAGGAAGTTAGTTAAGACAGTTAGGATATTAATTAGTTTGTTAAGGGGTTAGTGAGTTAAATAAACAAGACGATGAAGGTGAAAGAATTCATTCAATCTTTTATGATTTGAGGATTGATCTTTTGCTCTTTGTGAAAGGAGAAATCCTTTATGAAGGGGACACCCTTGGAGGAAAGTTCTCTGTCCTGTGTTCTGTCCTTTTTCAATTGATCAATAAATACCATCTTTCTTTATTTCTCTCTAGTTTATAGTCTGGATTCCTAACACTGTTTACTCATTTGGTCTTGCTTAACTGAACCTGAATCTTTCATGCATGCTTTCCAATCTGAAAGATACATTCTCAGGTGGCTCATATGACATTCCGTTTATAGGTCCCAAAGTTTCTGCTAAAGGAGTTCGTTCAACCATCCAGACATCAACCAAGCAGGAAAATGATTCCATGGTTTCCCAGAAAACAATGGCAAAGGAAATTCCACACAGGCCTGCTGATACTATGCTGGAGAATCCAGCCAAAAAACATAAACTTGGGAACTACTGTAGTCTTAAGGGTGATGTAATGGAGATCCTGAGACAGATGCCAAGTGTGACTACTACTGGAGATGGTCCCAGTGGTAAGAGAATAGAAGGGTTTCTGTACAAGTATAGATCTGGTCAAGTCTGTATTGTATGTGTCTGCCATGGTAACTTCCTCACTCCAGCAGAGTTTGTGATGCATGCTGGGGGCAAGGAAGTGGCCAATCCCATGAAGCATATCACTGTTTATTCTAACTCATTTTAGAGGTGAATGGGAATGACTTTATAATTTATATCCATTTTGGAATGTAGAGGAATGTGGAAGCAATGAAACTATCTTTGGTTAGTTTGTTTCCATAATTTTATCATCTCTTGTTCAAGTGGTCTGTGTAAAAGGAAACTTTCATCAAAGGTTGTTTGTCCTTTTTGTTAACCTTTCTAATACAAGGTAAAAAAACAACAGAATTATCTAATTTAGGTCAAAACTTGCCCCTCGCTATGTTGCTTTAAGGAACTGGAACCAAATGAATTCAACATAAACAATAGGATGTATATTACAGTTAACAAAATTTATTTTCCTAAACACGAGGTTCAGTAGCACAGATAGATTACTGATAAAAAAAAATTAAAGCTTTTAAAATTAGAGTTAGAGTTAATTTTTTAATTAAAATTAGTGTTTTGTTTTAATAACGTGATGATTTAGTGCGTCTTTTGTTTTTTACGTTTGAATAATTTATATTTACTTTAACGTTAACGGCTGTAACTTTTGTATTTATTTATGTTTATAAGTTTTTTAATATTTTTACACTCATAATAAGTACTTTTATTTTGTAAATTGTTATGGTAAAATTAATTTAATTAAAAATAATTAAAAATATCAAATATTGAATTTAGTTTTTTTGTCTTTATTACAGCTACATTGGTTGGATGGATACCATTATTTATCATATTATTTTCACAGATAATTTATTCTTAAATTATTTAGTGTCATTTTGAAGGAAATTTTGAACTGATTGTAGAAATAATTGTTTTAGCTTATAAGAAGTAAAGAGTATGTGTAATAATATTTTTACTTTATTCTTAGTTAATGTAGAAACGTTAATTAGAAGTGAACATCTAATATATGAAGTTTGTACAACTGAACAAACGAGGATGACTTAACATTTTAACCGAATAGATTTGATACTATATTGAAAAAATTAAGCTTAGTTGATTCTAGCTATTACTGAAAAGAATGGTTACAAGGTATATTTAAGTTCAACCTTATATTTTTACCAAATTTGCCGCTAGTGCTCTTAGTTGTTCAACTGAGAAGTAGTGTTTTTAAGGCTAAGTTTTCCTTGAGATCTAAAAGAAAGATACACGTTTTGGATGGAAGATATTGACTAAAAGACCAAAATTTTCTTAAGTACTACAGGTAAAAAAACTTGTGAGGAAGGAAAAACAAAAGAAAATGAATGAAGTTTGAGAGCTAAACGTTGAAAAACTTACTTAAATTCGAATAGAATAGACGTTCAAGTTTAGATCTAAACAGATTTAGAGTTTGAGGAGGTTTTTTTGGAAAGGAAAGGTGAGAGAACACAAAGAAATGTGAACGGAAGTTGTTTGACTTACAATACAAGTTTTAAAACATAAAGTTCCTTAAATATCTTCTTTGGCCCACAAATTCTCGCTTAAGCAAGCAGATTCTTGCTTGAGCGAGAAACATTCTTACCTAGGCGAGACCCTACTCGCCAACTGCATGAGAACGCCATACAGAAAATATTTTTGCCCTATCTAATAATCTCGCTTAAGTGAGATGCCTTCTCATTTGAGTGAGACCTGGTCAGAGAGCTTCTACCTTCACTTGTGCCTTCTTGCTTGGGCGAGACTCATCTAGTCTCGCTTGAACGAGATACCTTACACCAAATTTTCTATTTTAAAAAACAAAGGCAATAGAAATGAGGGTGTTACAATTTTAGCTTAGTTATATAATTTGTCATATATTTGGTTTATTCTATTCTTGCAAAAAGGGTTTTGCAAAAACTATTTTGCCTTTTTTGAACATAATTCCATTATAGCAATATGGTGTTGTGTTTTTAGTTTTCACAGCATGCTTATTTTTTTGCAATGCTTTAAATTTGAAAAAATGCTTTTTATGATATAATTTGTCTTATGTGTTTATTCCAATTTTAGTACAAATTGCTTGCAATATGTAGGTTGCAATTATGTTAGTAAAACTGCAATTTGGTGGGTTCCATAAGACATGAAACATTCATAGTTTGAGTGTCAAAAATGGTTTAAGTGTTAAACCCTAATTGTTAATCATATTTTATGATAATAAATATGAACACTTTCTTTGCATGGTGAATGATTATGGACATAATTTTTTGTTTAAATACAACTTGTGTACCTTAACTTATTTTGATTTAAATACGGTTTGTGTTGTGAGTTATTTTAGCTTTAAATACAACGTGTTTTGTGCCTTACTTATCATATTCATGTTATATTTCTCTTCGTATTTTTATCCCTTTAGTGTAAAAGAAGTCTTTTTTTTTTATCACATCTTGTAAATCTTTGACAAATGCATACAAAGACTCTTAAAAATATTTTTATTATTTTATTTTATACAAGATTTTTATTTTACTTGTGCAATGTTGAATATAATAAGAAGTTATATACGGTAAATTTTCATAAAAAATTATAGCATTTAATATTGTTAATGCACTTAATTACATTAAATTATGTAATTTAAAAAAAAACTTACTATATATAATTTTTTATTTTGTGTAATATGCACATGTTATATATATATATATATATATATATATATATTCATACACTAAAATAATTTTTATGTGCACTCATATGAGAAAATCACATTTGATGGTTATTTTGACTAGATAAAGCAATTTATTGCAGTAATTGGAGCCTAAATAATTATTTGCAAACTTCTACTGATCTTGTTTTCAGGGCTCACAATTGTAGCTAAATTTTGTTATGTTCACAAGAAAAAGATAGAAGAATAGACAATCTTTATTGAATTGATGAATTTTCAGTCTACAATCTTATGCTCCTGAGCAATGCTCCTTAGAGAATTTTCTCTGCCAAGTTTAGAAACTAGATTTCAAAAAAGACCCCTACCTAACTCTCCCAACTACTAATAGTAGCTGGGACTTGAAACAAAGAAATAACTCCTAACTGCTAATTGTCACTATTAACAACTTTCTTTTTCCTAGAGTAAACCAGTCAAGGCTTGGCCTTGTCTGAGTTAGTATTTACAATGATATTAGGGCTAGGACCCTAACTCCTATCATTATCCCTTTCTAGAAGTATAGACTTGCCCTTAAGTCTGAAGTGAGGAAATTGGCTCAGCAGCACAAATTCATCTTCCCATGTGGTGTCCTCTAGAGGGCAGTGCTTCCATTTGATTAGTCATTGCTTGAAAGGAGTGCCACCGTTAATAACTTCTCTTTGGGTTAGAGCAACTTCAGGTTCAACTGTAGCTTCTAGTTCAACTTCAAATCCACTAAGTAGGTCAGGAGAGGTAGTATAATTGCTAATGGCCCTTTTTCACTGAGAAACATGAAATACCGGATGCACTCTTGAGGTCTCAAGTAGTTGCAGCTTATAAGCTACCTCACCAATTCTCTGCAAAATCTTGTACGGCTCATAGAACCTAGCAGCAAGTTTATGATTGATCCTCCTGGCCACTGTTTGCTGCTTGTGGGGCGTATCTTTAAGAAAACAAACTCTCCAACTACAAAGGATATTGCTTTTTTTTTCTTGTCAGCAAAATGCTTCATCTGCTGCTGGGCCTTGTGTGTAAGTTAAACTTCAGCTGAAATAAAACCTCATCACGGTCTAGTAAATCACTAGCTATAACTTGTACCTTGATTTCTCCAAGAAGGAACCAAGTAAGTCCTAAAGGAGGTATGCCATAAACAATTTCAAATGGAATAGTAGCTGTGGCAGTATGGAAGGACATGTTATACCAGAATTCACCCCAATGCACCCATAGGGACAAGTTCCTTGGCTGCTTAGAAGCAAAACACTTTAAGTATGTCTCAAGGCACCTATTTAGAACCTTTGTCTGAGCATCTGTTTCAGGATGATATGAGGAGCTCATTTTCAGCTTGGTCCCCTGTAATCTGAAGAGCTCTTTCCAGAAAGAGCTAATAAAAAGTGGAAAATGGGTCCCTGTCACTGACAATTGAAGAGAGAATGCCATGCAAACGAACTATTTCTTTAGCAAAAGTCTTAGCTATTGTTCTGGCTGTATAAGGATGTTTAAGCAATATGAAATGCCCATATTTGGACAACCTATCTACTACTATCAAAACCGCCTTATAGCCGTTAGATTTTGGTAGCCCTGTAATGAAATCCAATGAAATGTCATCCTACACCATAGAAGGAATAGGTAGGGGCTGAAGTAAATCGCTTAGGAAAATGGCTACATACTTTTTCCTTTGGCAGACATCACAACTTTTGATAAATTTCAAGACCCTCTTTTTCATGCTCACCCAATAAATATTTCGTGCAATCCTCCTATAAGTTTTCAAAAAACTTGAATGTCCACCCTCAGGTGAAGCATGGAATTCCTCCAGTAATTGAGGAATGTAAGAGGAAGTAGATGGTATAACTATGCTCCCTTTATGCACTAAGATCCCATTTTGAATAGAATAACCTGCCCTTTTTTCAGAACTTTTTCTGTAAATTAGTCTTCATCTTTTGATTAAAATCATCCTCCTTTATCTCCTTCTGAAGTGCCTCACCTTGCAACCATAAAGGATAGGATAAGATAGCATTAATTCAACATTCTTATAGATTCGTGAGGGGGCATCTGTTGCCTTATTTTCAGTACCAGCGTTGCAAACTACTGTTAATTAGTATCTGAGTAACTAGGATAACCAATTTTGCTAAGCAAAGGTGATAATTTTTTGATGCAACACTTCCTTTAAACTCTTCTGATTAGAAAAAATGGTGAACTTTCTCCTAATCAAATAATGATGCCAATGCTGGACGGACAAGACCAGAGCTATCAGTTCCCTCTCATAAGCTGATTTAGACAATTGTCCAACAGAAAGAGCCTTGCTGTAAAATGCAATAGGTGGCTGTTGTTGCATGAGAACGACTCCTATACTACTCTCAGAGGCAGCACATTCAATCTAAAATTCTTGTGAAAAATCAGGCAACCTCAACACAGGAACAAAAGTGATTACTTTCTTCAATTTTTGAAAGACTTGTTTAGCCCTTGGATTCCACACAAAGGCCTCTTTCTTAGTTAACTTAGTGAGAGATTTAGCTATCTTCCCATAGTTCAAAACAAATTTCCTGTAGTATCCTGTCAGCCCAAGGAACCCATTCATCCCTTTCACATTCTTAGGGGTTGGCCAGTTTAAGATGTTGTTGACCTTAGCAGGATCCATTGTCATCCTATTTTTAGAAATCACATGCCCAAGATACTCAATTTGACTTCTACCAAAACTATATTTTTTCATATTAGCAACAAATTGATGTTCCCTAAGGACTTGCAAAACCTTAGGGAGATGCAAAATATGTGCAGACCAGTCCCTATTGTAAACTAATATGTCATAAAAAAAAAATCAGTACAAAGTGAGGAAGGAAAGGTTTGAAAACCTGATTCATAGTAGACTGAAGGTGGCTAGTGCATTCATTAGGCCAAAAGACATGACTAGGCACTCATAATGACCTTTATGAGTTTTAAAGGTTGTTTTACTAGTGCCTTCCTCCTTAACACTTATATGATGATAACCTGATTCACACTTTTCTATTTACATTCATCATCTTGAAATTCTTGCTGGTTCACACTTTTCTATTTTTTCCTCAATGCTATCCGGCAGGTCAGACCAGTGTCATGTTCACAAGAAAAGAGAGAAGAAAAGACAATCTTTATTAAATCTTTATTGAATTGATGAATTTTTAGTCTACAATCCTGTACCTTAGAGCAATGCTCCTCAAAGAAATTTCTCTACCAAGTTTAGAAACTAACTTTCAAAAAAGACCCCTAACTAACTCTGCTAGCTACTATTTATAGTTGGGGCTTGAAAATTAAAAATAACTCCTAACTGCTAACTGTCATTATTAACGACTTTCTTTTACATAGAGTAAACCAGCCAAGGTTTGACCTTGTTTGAGTTAGTATTTACAATGATATTCGGGCTCAGACCCTGACTCCTATCAACTTTTTTCTTTCTAACCATATCACAACTATCCCCAAGACAATCATGTTCTAGTAGAGAAGTAGAAAGGGATAGCTATTAGTCAATTGCTGAGCTATAGAAGTGAATTTTGCTCCTCTAACATGCTTTAAATCACATTTGATGGTTACTTTGAATACATAAGGCAATTTATTGCAGTAATTGGAGCCTAGAACCTGCATTGAATAATTATTTGCAAACTTCTACTGATCTTGTTTCTAGGGCTTGTGGTAATAGCTAGATGACCTTTTTCTTTCTTTCCATATCACAACTATCCCCAAGATAATAGTAGAGAAGTAGAAAGGGATAGCTATTAGCCAATTGCTGAGCTATAAGTGAATTTTGGTTTCCCTCTGACATGCTTTTATAATTTAAGGGCTTAGGTTGTAGCCCAGTGAATGGTCGCCGGTTACTCTCGCCTCACGGATACCACGTGGGTAGTCACGGGTCACTCAATAAAGATAGTAGTCAGAGGTCTAGTCAGGAAGAGAGTGCACCCGTTCCGCAGTCAGTGTCACTACCATTCCCTCTTTCCCAAGATATTTCTACCGTCCTCATCTCCCACTTCCCTAGTGTATCGCTGAATTATTCACAGCACATTACAACGAAACTAATACGCCCAATCACACATATTCCATTCACGCATGCAATAATCATGCTTACACACGGCACACAGCCCACATTCCATTTCACAGCACATGACACATAGCCTACAATTATCGTTTATATTACACGACCCTTGGGCCCACATTTTCATAATATTCATTCAAATACACGGCACAAGTGCCCATACCCATTCACAACACTCGGCATACATGCCCTCATTCTATCACACAACATTTACATACAATCCATCAATTTCGGGTCAACACACATAATGTTCACACATCACGGCACTTGACCCACATTACATTTCTTAGCAATTTCCTATCCACTAACTCAGCCACAACACAATATTCAGCAAAACAACAACAATTCATGCACAAAAGAGTAGGATAGAGTCCCCCTTCACCTTAGATTCAAGGCCCACACTCGGATTCGACCACGGACGTGCTCCTAACACAGATTACGGCCTAAAACACATGGAAGAACTCCATGAGAACCCCAAGAAACCGAGAAATAGAGAATTGGGGATGAGAAACGGAACCCTAACCATTAAAACTCACCTCCAAGCGTTCCCCACACAAATTTAACCTTCAATTAAGCTCCCGAATAGCTTTAGAGACAATTAATCGGTGGAATAGGATTTTGGAGAATGAGAGAATTGAAGGGAGAGGGAGAAATAACTCTCCCTGAACCCTAACCCCTTTTAAATCCTTTTCTGATCGCGACACTCTCGCTACAGCAAAAAAACTAGAGAAAACTGCACTTTGGTTTCTGCAGAATCTTGCTATAGTGAGGCCCTCTCGCTATAGCAAGACTGGACCCAGAAATGCACCCCAAACTGTCGCTCTGTCGCTATAGCGAGATGTCTTTTGCTACAGCGAGAAGGCGACAGTTCTGGTCCTTCCTCCCAGGGCCCTTTCGCTACAGCGAGAATAGCCCAGTATCATGCCCTACATTTAGCCCAGTACCATATGTAGAAAGAGCACGAGGTAAAGGAAGACCAAAGGCTACTTAAATTAGGAATGAAATAGATTTGGTCGAGTCACAACCACGACAAAGATGTAGGTTGTGTCGATAACCTGGTCATAACCAACGTCAATGTCCTTAACATCATGATCGTAATGTACAACAGATGTAAGAACATGTTGCGTGTCACGAGGAATTGTTGTTGTTAATGTTATTAATGTATTAATGTATCTTGTTGTTAATTTTACCAGATGTATTAATGTATCTTGTTGTTAATGTTAAGAAGGGTGTAACGCATATTTCCTTGTTAATGTTTTAAATAACTTACAAGTATAGGGTAATATAGCAAAATTGATTATATATAGAGAACATGTTCCACTAATATTAATAACAAGTGCAACATAAAGTTAATAAATACATAAATAACAACCCATCAATCTAAGTCAAACGATTGTTCTGCATGCCTTGCCTCATGAGGTGTAAGGATGCACTATCGACGACGATCTCGTGCTTCACGATGAGGGTTCCGACGCACATCTTGTACGTCTGCATCAGCAGCAACAATAAAATCTGCATTAAGATCAATACCATGGTCCGAACCTACTTGCATTGATGATGTTTCCCATCCCTGCCCACTCGATGACCTCCTATAGCCGGTGCATCAGGAGTAAAGAATGATGGCTCATATGGAGGAGGTGTCATGTAAAGGCTACCCTCGGGGACATAATATTAACCACCGTTAAATGGAGATGGAGGAGGTTGTGAAGTGAACTGTTATGCATGAAAATAAGATGTCTACATGGCCTGGGAAGGGTTGAAGGAAAACTGTGGTGGGATATAATAGATGTCGTCTCTGCGTTCTGGCAAAGAGGGAAGTGACCACTTTGCCTCCTACAAATTGTACCATGAGGAACATGTAAGAACATAAGTACAACATGTAATATAGTTAAAAGAAATATTATTAATTTTACCTTCACTTCTGTTCGACGGCATTGCAAATCTTTTCCTTCCTTACGGTCTGCAAGTTGACCAATGTCAATGGCCGGATCAGCTGAATTTCCAAATAGGAGGGTCAAAAGAAGAAGCAGGCTCTAATATGCGCTCTTGCTCATTCTGTAGTGAGAGCATGGTCTCACATAACTCATTCATCTTCTCAAATGAAAATGAGTCTTTACCATCATTACACAAGTAATATGCTCTTTCATGAGCATCTCCCTGCAATGACACAATATAAACCTTTAACAAGTACCAAATATAAACACAATCAAATAGTGTGTAATTTCATTCATATTACTTACAAATAATGCAAATATAGCTGCATCCCTAGTCATCCATCGTCGGGTGTGAGTAATGTACCATCGCATATATTTAGAGTTAGAACTTAACAACCCAATCTGAGGATCATTAGTCATTACCCAGGCCTGATGCATGTCCCATAGCTCCACTATGCCTTTGAACTTAGCCAACCAATTCTCACCAGTCTTCCTTCTTAAAGTAATGTCATGTAGCTGGTCAGGTTGGTATGGAGCACGAGGAATATGTTGAACCATCCTAAATTGTTGCATTACACAGTCAGGCTGGTGGCACTCAAAAATTTGAAAACATATAAGTGGCACAACTGACCTCCAAATATTCGATGCTTCAGTGCATATGGCAGGCAAAGAATTCATCAACTCCATACTATACGGTTGCCATACAATCTGCATTTTCAAAGTTGTGCAAAATAGTAAATTTGTTGTGAATAATAATTAACCCATCGTGTTGATGTTGTATCAATGTATATTAACAAAATACCTCATCACATTTCAAATGATCAAACTTATATCTGTAGTAAGCGAGATCTCTTTTTCCTCTACTATAACTCTGACTCACTAACCACCTGCAAGACGCACATATAAATTTAAATCATGGTGACACAAGTTTGAAAAGTAATTCATAAATTACATATAGAATAATTCAAGACATACAGTGCATCATAAGGAAGATCTAGTCGTGTGTGGATAGAATTATTAGGTTGTAAAAATGGAAACCTATCCCATGCCCACATCATAAGTAGTAGGGTGGGGTTAATCCTGCAATACCAGAACGCTCAATATTGGTCGACATGCATAACTCTCGGTATAGAAATGCCAATGTTGCAGCTCCCCAACTATACTCTCCTTTGATAGTAAAATCCTCAAGCAATGGAAGGTACCTAACTGGGACCCTACTAGAGGAATGATCAGCCAACATGAAACCACCTATTAACCTCAGAATATAAGCTCTAGCAAAGCGAGTCAGCTGAAGTTCATTATGATTATGCATTGCAACATGTATAAAGTGTTGGTCCAACCAACTCAACTTCAAACTGCTCCCCATAAATGCATCATCAGGTGGCCTAATACCAAGCAAGTCCTCCACAATTTGTGCCTTATTACCTCCTACAGCTGCAATGACTGCCTTTCCATCTATACGAAGCCCTATTTGAATAGCAATGTCCTGAAGAGTTATAGTACACTCTCCAGGAGGCATGTGGAAGGTATGAGTCTCTGACCTCTATCTTTCTACCAAGGCTGTAATAAGATGTCGGTCAATAGGAAAGCATGCCAACTGAGCTACCCCAACAAATCCAGCTAAGGTAAGATGAGGAAGTATCTCCACTGGAACCCCTTCCATGCCAGCCAGTATGAAATAACTCCTTCTCACCTTCAAAATTGGGTGGTCACGTCCATTCCAAATATGCTCCGATACGTGAACAGACTAATACCTCAATAATGAACTATCCTTCGGGTCAGGATTTAAAACCCTACTCCGCAATGAAGATGATGCCATATGAAATTAAATTTGTCAACTTAAACTTAAATTATGTACGTTCAAATTAAAAAATTAAAAATTCTATCCAGTTTATCATTTTATTATTCATTATTAGTACATGGGTTTTATTACAATTATTTAACTCTAACAATTTCAAAATTTAAAATTAACCTAAAAAATTATTTCATTTAATTATTATATTATTTATTTTTATTAACAATTTAACAACTTTTAAATATTTAATTATTTTCATTTAATTATTTATTTGTTTAAGAATAAAATGCATGTTAAAACCAAATTTAAGTATTGATTTGTTTAAGAATAAAATACATGTTAAAACCAAATTTATACCTTATTTCTAAAATCCTTTCAACTAAATTAGATAAATTATAAAATTTCTGAAAGATAATAATGTATTATTTTTTAGCAAATTAATTACTACATTCTTACTTAAAGTAAAACTTCTATTATGTTAATTTTCATAAAATCATTATTTTCTTAATTTATTATATTTATTTAATAATTATTTTGTTTCTTAAATCATAAAGTTTTTTTTTTAAATATGTAATGTTTTAAATAAATTTGATGACATAATTATTATATTTTATTGTTAATTTTTTATGAATATAATATTTTAAATATGTTTATAATTTTTTTCTTTTCATATTTTATCTATTCTATAATGTAATTGTATATGTTCTTTTAATAAAATTATTGTATTTACTATATCTAATATTTTTTATTTCACTCATTTATTTATATATCAATCTACTATCAAAATATAAAAAATTATTATTTCTTCAAAATTAATTATTTAATATTTTCACTGCATTCTATACATATTTTTTCATTATCATGTTTTTTATTTTTTTTCTAAACTATATATTTATATATATTATTCTTTTCTCTTAATTTATCAAGTTATGATAATAGAATTTTTTTATTTAATAATTAATACATATTATGGATTACTATAATTTTTATTGATTACATTTTTAAACAACTAATTATAAATAATAACATATCTATTATATAATTTCTAATACAATTTATCTAAAATTTTATTTTTTACAAAATAAATAAACTAATTTATAAAATATTTAAAAATTAAAATTAATTTGTGCACCTCCGCAGCTTTGATATGGATTTGAAGTAACTCTCTTCTTCACGAGCTCCAGTCACTCACCAGCCAACCACTCACCCACAATCACCACCTGCACCACAATCTCAATATTACATACATGCAATTTCATATTTAAAAAGAAAATTATATTCAAAATATTTGTCTCATTACCTTTTAATAATTTTTTGCTCAAAAATCTTAATACACGAAGCCAACAAAATGCTAATTTAAACGCTGTATTTTTTCAGGCAAGACAAACCTCTGCAAATGCGAAACAAAGAAGATGAAGGAGAAAGGGAAGAAAGGAAGAAGCCCGCGCCCAAACGGTCAAACTTTTCTACCATGTGGACCAATGAAAGGAGTGTCATCCCTGACCCAGACGACTGTCTTGAATCGTCCCTGACCCCATCGACACTGATGTCGGCTCTGACCCAAACGATTATCTAGGATTTATACACGTGGCTTCGTTTTTTCCCACCCGTCGATTCATTTTTCATTTTTTTCATTTTTGTTTTCCTTTATTTGGTACAACACGTGTGTCGTCTGTTAATTGGATGATTTTTCTTTTTGGTGTCATCCTTGTTCTGGACGATTCTCTTGCCACGTCACCCGCCAACTCTAGACCGGGAATTTGTTTCGATAAAGCCCTATTTTGATAATTTTTTTAAAATTAACCCCAAAAGGGGAAAAAGCCACTCTTTTACCACCTCTCATTTCTCTCTCTGTCTCTTTCTGTTATATCACATCACCTATCAAATATATCACTTCTCTCTTTTATTCTTCTTTCTCACTAGGTGTAGACACCTCTTGGGTTGACAATGACAATCTTGTCAGAAATGATTTTTCTATACATATTTCTTACTTTTTAACCCTCAAAACAGTAAATAACGAGACACAGTACTAGTAGTTTTATAGTTCAATTGATTTCCTAAAACTCAATTTCATTACCACTTATAAATTGGCTCCTCTTCATTCAATTATCACATTATATGTATCTTCTATCAGACACTTTCAGCTACTTGACTACATTTCTGTGAACATGCCAAATCACAATGGAATAATATAATAATCAAACCACTGTTATTATTAACGTGCCACAGAAAATTAGTGCGAGCTTGCGCACTAATGCAAGAGTTTTAGTTTGCCATCTAAAAAAAAACTTGCTGCAAAATCGCTGGACCCTTGTTTGCTTCTGTTGATGATACATCTACCAACAGTGCTATCAGGCTAACCTATAATGATACATTGTTTACAAGAAAATTTGTCTCTGATTTCCAAACTATATATGTAAGGGTTTAAAATGGCAAAAGATGAATAAAAACTAACCAGTTAGAGCTAGCATGCGTGCATGTGCACAACACTAAACTATCAAACGGTAATAGAGACAGCAAAATGGTTTTGGCACAAGCCAAGAGAGACCGTGATTAGACGGTTGCCTAATGTGTTCTAACTACAGCATGTAAAGCAACATAGCCATTTGTTCTGAGAAGCATTTGGGGTTGACTTGGGGTTCTGAGCTGCATCTGGTGTTACTATAAGGGTCTGCTGCTCTGGCTGGTGCTGCTCCTTGCTCTTCTCTTCACCATGCTTTGATGAAAGAGGTTTGTGTCCCTCTGTCAATCTTCACATCACAAAAACAGTTCAACTATTTGCTCAAGAAACTTAGCATAAAACATAGCTTTAATCACGACAAAGAAGCATCATCATCCAAGTACTTTTATTCTCTTGATAGTAAGATTTACTTCTCAATTCATTTTTCATATTCATGTTCCCTATATCATGTGCTTAAAGTTCTGAATCTTTTAGTATGAATATACATGGGCTAAATTTTACACCTGCCATGTCAAAAATATTCACATTGATATAAACAAAAATATACCAGAATCAGTTTCCAAAATCACCTACTTATATGATATATTAAATAGAGTGGTTACTAAAATAAGCATGCATTATAAAAGCAGTTAATGGCCAGTGCTTACGCTCTAAATGCATAAGATTTTGTGCTCCCATCTGAATGGTGAGAATGGTCATTAAAATTTGAAAGCCTATCTGTTTCCTCACCCGCAACTGTCAAATCCCCTTTACTTGTATTCTGTTTGTTTTGATTGTTTTCCATTATAACCTCTCTCATTGTCTCAGCAGCTTTTTCTTCAGTCACTTTTGAACCTTCATGTTGTTTAGCAGTGCTTTCACTGATGTCATTGAATTTTGTGGCTGATGCTTGAGGTTGGGGTGGGAGTGGGAGTGGGGGCTGATTATTTGGAAGAGCACTAGACGAATGTGTGTCACCAGGCTTATCAAACTCACCAGATTTACCCAACCCAGCCATCTCACTAGAGAAACTGATATTTCCCATTTGAATGCTGAACAAAGATTCATTAGAGGCAGTGCTCCATTGGGTGTTTGATTTGTGTCTAGAAAACACATGTGATGGAAACCTGTACTTGGAAGAGGTAGCAGGATTCTCCGGACGCTCCATTACCTGAATTGGAGGACTTTGTTTTTCTGATCCATTGTTGGTGCCAGGAACAACTGCAACTGATGAGTGTTGTCCTGCAACATCACTAGGTTGTTGTCCATTCTTAGGAAAAGAGCTGACTGGGATGTCATCATCACTAGATTCTGAAGCTAACAGCAAATCCTTTCCCAATTTTGAAGGTGATTTAGTGGAAGCATTTACAGAATTATGCTTGGAGTCTTGAGTAGAAGATTCAAAAGCTGGAGAAAATGATGACACTGATGAACCTAAATTCTTATCTGTTCCCAAATTGCTACTAGCCACGTTATGATGTCCTTGTTCCATGGATAGAAGTGTGTGATGTGATTCATTGCCATGATCATGATGACGTTCATCAACTTTCCATGAAACAGATGCCCGTCCTGGGGTCTCCTTTCTGGTTGTACTTGTTGGCACTTCAAAGGGATTTCCTGGTGATGATTCATATTTGGATGGTGCCAATTGTGAATGGAGGCCACCTAGCATATCATCAACAGGATATGTACTGGGACTATTCTTAGTCATGTCCCCATTTGGCAATGAAGGTAGATGGTCACGAAAAGTTTTAGATTCAGTTGCACCCACATGTGTGGTGTTGGTGGCATCACTCATATGTAGAAAGGGGTTTTGTGATGATGGAGTAGTGGCTGAGTTATTCCCGAATTGAGAAGGATGAGCTTCACCAAAAGGGTTAGCAAAATGTGCTTCCAAATGGTTATTAATTGGGCTTCTATCTCCGTTTTCTCTCAATGATTGCATGTGTTGCCTTTCGGACTGTAAGTATGCTTGGTCATGTATAGGAAGAGAGGTTGCACTTATAGATCTAGGATTGGCATAGTGGTTATTGCATTAGGCATAAAGTGAAAGTGATCTTGTGATGTAAACTCTAACGAAAAGGGTGAAGAGGAGGATACTTGCTTCTTTTCTGAGTTGCATTGTTATCTTTCATCTGAATTTGTTGAAGGACCAGTTCTCAAATCAACACTAGATCCACTATTTCGTGCAGATTCCCTCAGCCAACACAATGTCTAGTGATTCAGGATCAGGATATTCTGTAAAACCAGAATTTCAAATGAGAAAACGTAGAGAAACAAGCATTTACGTCAAGTCTACGTTTTGAACCCTCTAAAGCCTAGATGTTGGTTTAATTATAGCTGAAAAAATTGAAGTCACTTGAAGATGGGAGAACACAAAGATTAGGTCAATAAACAATACTATAAAGCATAAACAGGTATGTCTACTAGAAAGTATGCACCAACCGTAATGTAATCCTCTTAGGTTGGATCAAACATGCCCATTAGGCTCTATTAAAATTTTAATTTTTAATGAATCCAAATAAAATTGCACCCAACATATATGTAACATAACAAAGGTTTTAAGTTCCACAAAATCACGCGTCTTCATTTTGTTTGAAGAATGTGCAAATTTTGATCCCAACAGAATCAGATGTTATCTCTTAATTTATTTTAAAAGAAAATTGTCATTCTCAGTTCTTCAATATATCAAGAAAACCCAAAACATGCCATGTATATCCTAATAAAATGTTGCTGAAATGGCAATGCAACGTGTTTAATCCTATTTATATCGATTTGGTTTATTGAAAACGGTTCGGCCTTCAATAAACCATTTGGTTTAGAAAGCATTTAAAGGAGGGAGAGAAATTGTAAAAACAAACTAATTGCACTATCGTGATGAACATAATACAAATTGAGAAGGTGTATGCAACCATATAGTACATTAAATACTAGATGATGAAAATAATGGCAAACAAACAAAGATATTAAATTTATTTTAATAATAATGAAACAAAGGATTTAACAATGAAAATGCATTTGAAAAGATTGAAGAAAAGATGTACCCAGAAAAGTGACATTTACAAATATGGTAATAAGCAGTTCCATGATCCCATTATCTCAATCTCAACGAACTAACAAAGATGCACAGAAATCCAGAAGAAAAAAGGTCTAAAAGTTTGATCAGAGAGAGAGAATAGTTGCAACAAGAAAGGGTTAAATAAAGGAGAGGATGTTGCTCAAGTTTAGGCGTTTCCTCATCTGACAAACATTCGCTACCCATGACTGTAAATGGCCAACTAAACTAAACAAAATTAAGAAAATATAAAAAAGAATTTAAAATTAATTTCTACTATTTTAATTTTAAAAAAATTTCAAAAATATTAATATGAGATGTATAATGTAATTTTAACTTATAAAAATAATTTAAATTGTTTTACTTATAATTTTCTTCTTTTACAGGTTCTTTCAGAGAAACTTATTCAACTTGAGTATTTTATCTTCATGTTTGTGTTTTAAAAAGGATTTGATTTCAGATTTCTACTAATCCGTGTAAATATTTATTTCTGTATTTTTTATGAATACTTAAATACTCCGATTTGATTTTACTAAAAAAATAATAATCCAAGCTTACTATTCACATTTTAAGAAAATAAAATACATTTTCTTTTAACGTGTTTTTCTTTTGACAATAATAAAATTGCAATCTATTTTAACATTATAAACAATTATAAAATCAACAAAATAAAAATATTAATTAAAATAATAATATCTAACTCAATTAAAAAGTATTCAAATATTATTCATATTGTTATTATAATATATTACTAAGGAAACTTTTAATTAAATTAAAAAATAACATAATAATATGATTTATGGATATATAAAGCGACAATTATAACTGTAATACTAGTCATGCCTATTTATAAGAAATAAATATGAAAAATGCATGAAACTTCTAACATAAATTAAAAATAATTTATCTCTTTAAATTTTTTAAATAAGTTAAACTAAAAATCTTTTAAAAAATATAAAATATTAGATAATTTTAATTTATGAAAGAAATTTTATTCAGTTTACAATTTAATATTTTACTCATACATATTAAAAAATTATTAAGACCAATATATTATAAATTTATACTATATTTTAAAAATATTCATAGTATTAAATAATTAAATTAATGATTTATATATTAAAAAATGAATATATCTACTTATGTAAATAGTGAATAGACTTATAACACAAATTTTCAAATTAATAAGAGTATAAAAAATTAATAATTAATATATTTAAAAATGAATATTAGTAATTGTGGAAAGTATTAGTAATTGTTTCTTATAAATAGACTGAAGGTAACATTAATTTAAATACTAATGCATGAGAAGTAGCACTACTAACAAATGGTGAAGTAGAGACAAATTTTATAATTTAAAAATAAAAATTAAATTTGAAATAAAAACATGTTGAACATATTAGAGAAATGGATGTTAGAGACAAAAATATCTATTTTTATATAATTTGTGTCTCAAATTTTGTATCTATTTTTTAAAAAGTTACTAAAAGAATGTATTAGACACTAAATTTAAAGAAAAAAGTGAATCACCTCAAAATATTTGGTCTCTAATTCTATCTCTATTTAGTTAATCTACATAAATAAATAAAAAGGTCAAAGATAGAACAAAAGGTTGTCTCAAACAATTTCTGGTTCTAATTTTCTCTCTCAATCTAGTATCATTCTTGACTCCTTTTGGTAAGCAGTCTGCATACTAATTTGATTGATGCATGATGGAATTAATTTATAACAACGTTCCAATTTCTCCTTCAATTGATTGTTGTCAACAACAACATAGTGATGGGTGCATTCTCAACCCTTGTGTACAAGATTGATAGCAAAAAAAAGTCACTGGGACAAATTATATTCGAGTAATCGCTAAACAGTACGACAATACGAAAATGTAAAGTACAAAAAATACCAATTTAAAATTAACAAATCAAGTTCCGCATAACTAATCATGGAGGAAAGAAAACGAATCTTGTTTGCCAATAAATTAAACCATGACACTTGGATGCAATTTTCTTAAGAATGAATCTAAAGCTCTTCGCATCCACAATTTTCCTTGGAACTAGTACTCTACTGCGCACCCACACCCACACCCACATCCCAGTGATGTTGCTTGTTAGTCTAATATGGACATGACATATATCTTTGTTATGAGGTTAAGTCTTCATGATTTTGGTTTTTAACATCCACCAGGTCTCATACTAATGTAAGATACTTATATGTCCTTGATTCTTTCCAATTTTAATAAATATGGGATTTTGTTTGCGCATCCCAACATCGAGTCATTGATCCCATGATAGTCGTAAGAGGTGAACACCACTATTTTACAAGGTTCCTTCATCCATCCATTTCTTATACATACCACAAGGACAGGTCCCCTCTACTAATGTAGAATCAACAACCATCTTTACGGCACATTATAGCATAGAGAGTTGATCTCCAAAGAACCTACACCCACATTTTTTGTAGGATCAGAGTGCAAGCTCCATATTGGTACATGCTTCTCCGACAATACGGTTTTCATGTCTAACTCAACCTGATTCCCAAAGATCCTAAATGTTGGGAAAAGATCATGAATAATAGCATACAAATGGAAGCTATCTGGTTCTTCTTTTGTCCTTTGAGTAACTAAAATAGGTTTCACAAAATCTGCATGCAACAAATAATATACGTAGCTAAGAGTTCATTCATAACAGAATAATAAATTACAAAAGGCACAAAATTAATAACAGAAAAACTCTCATTGCAAAGGAAGATTTCACGAACCTAATCTAATAAAATTTCTCCAATAATGAGTCCACCATAAGTCTTCCTGACCTCCAAGGATAAATAGAAAATGTAAACCTCACCAATAAACTAAAAATCAATACAATAAAATCTTCCAACATGTAAACTAACTGAACAAGAAAAAAAAAAAAGCAATATATCAAATAAAATATACCAAAATGATGCTCTCAATTAGAAGAAAACCTACTAAAATTTGTGCATACTGATAAGTCTGTAATTAGACCCTCTTTTACAGCCCATATATTCATATTTAACCTTTATTTTATTTGGGTTTTACACTAATTTATATATTAATTGTGCAGTTTGGTATAAAGAGATCGCAAGTGGATTTTGGATGCATTCTGGGCCCAAATTGATGGAAGATTAGAGTTTCGCAGCAGTCAGCACGCTCAGATCCATTCAATAAGCACGGGGTGCTTCGAGCCCATGCACGATCGTGCTTAAGGCCTTACACGGCTGTGCTAATCTGCGGGAAGCCCAATTATGAATAGTTTTTAGGGTTTTCAAATCCTATAAAAGGGAAGATCTCATGCATCGTAAAAGAACCGTTTTTACATCTTGGCTTTGGCTCTAGAAATCATCTAATATCGTCTCTCTTGCACAGGATCCTTGGCACATGCTTGGCGACACTTGGAGCTTCAAGCGATCGTACTTGAAGACTGGGAACACATCTCACACTCTAGTTTGCTATTTCTTTTGATTATGACTTTGTTTATGATTGTTTTAGTTCTTTTCTTTAGCATGAGTAACTAAGTCTATAGCTAGGGCTATGGAAACTATTGTTCATGAATTTATGAAATTTTGATAGTTAAATTTAAATTTGATTTCTGTTTTGTGATTAGATTTTATCCTATTGTGCTTCTTTCTTAATCTTAATTAATTATATCATCAGGCGACCGTACCTCGGTTAATTAATAGATCTATAGGGTAAAACGAGACAAAGGATTAGGTGGACCAAACCAATCTTTCTCTTCTAATTATTATTAAATTAATAAGTTCATAGGTTCTTTAAGCTTTCTTAAATTGATGTCTTGCATGACCATTGAGAATGTTAATTTAGAGAAAAGAATATTAATATTGCATGACCATTGAGTATTAATAGTATTCGTATAAATGATTGGTAATCACAAGGAAATCAGATTTAGAGTTAAACAGAAGAATAACATAAAGGATTGAATGAGAAAACTCATATGCCTTAAGTTTCTCTCCGATAAGTTTAACCAAGACGTGCATTGTATTCCTTACTCTTAGTTTATAATTAATTTTATAAATTTTTGTTTTTAATAAATCTCGTATCTTTGAAGCTTAAACAATTGAATTAGAAAATTCTTAGTAATTGAAAATCAATCATTGTGGGACGATATTTCAGGAACTTAATTTAAGAACTCTCTATTACTTCTCAATGGGTACACTTGCCTCTGAACACATACCATGACATATATACATTAAACTACTAAAGATGGATATATAAAATGACCTACAAGTAGGACATTGCTTGAAACTCAACTTAAAATGACCTACAAGTAAAGTACTAACTATCTTGGAACTACACAATTTTACATTCTCAATATACTTTTGCTATGATAAACTATCATATTAAAAGTATGGTAAAATATTGTAGTCATGCAATCCAAACACTTAGAGTCAGATTACAACACTCTGAATAGTGTAAATAGTACTCAAACAAAATAATAAGATAATCTTTAAACATTTTTATTCAAGATTGATGCGTCAAATATCATAAGAGTCATTTTTCTTAGTTTTATGTA